GCTTCACTCCTACACGATAAAACACTGAAGCTAATCACAGCTGTGCCTTTAGCACAGTGCTAAATGATCACCAGTTGTGTGATGTAAACACATGAGGTACTAACAATGAACCATCTCCAGTCTCAAGTCTCTCACCTGAGGAAGAGGTGGGCGGGACCATGTAGTAGCTCATTAGCATTTAAAGGTAAAGACACAGAACCCAGTATTAGATTATGTCCCCTGAGTGATTAAAAAGAATTGTTATCGTTGGTGACTGACTTGAAACCTCAGTTTAAATACCAACATATTTTTTATGCATATATTGAATACTATTTATCTCTCATTTCTGTTACTGATGCCCAGCACAGTCTTCCATATTTTATTTCCATTTGTACAGTACAAATATTTAGAGGCCAGCCCCCCCCCACCTTCATGCCCCGCCCCTCAACATAAACCTGAAGGACAAATTAGAATAAAGAGCACACGTTTATCCTCTCACTGCACATCATGACATGGAAAGTTTTCCAGCATGATTTAGGACCTTGGCCTTCACCTTCACTCACGATGGCGATGGTGGCTGTATGAATGTGTAATGATTCTACGATGGCCGAGATCACATCCAGTGCACGGTTGGTCGATACACGCTGACCTCTCTCTCTCTTTTTCTCTGCCCTCATCGATTGGACAGTGAGTGCCTGTGAACCCGGCCATAAAGTGGGGAAAAAATAAATACAAACCTTTGGACACATTATTTAGTCTGAGTGTTGCCGGGGCTGAGGGGAACCAGCAGTCTTCTTAACGCGGCCTACTATTAAAGAATAAATCACTCTTGTCCCGTCTTTTGTTGAGGATTTTAATATGTAATGCCTTCATCCCCCTGCAGACCAGACACACAATGACATTCATAATTTTACTGAATATTTCAGCTTCTGTCTGAGTTAATAACCCATTTCAACTGAGCCTGCCAGACTGATAGGTCAATCTTCAACTGCTTGAAATCCCAGAGGTTTAGATATATGAATTTTCCTCCTTTAATTCATAGCAGGCAGACAATCACTGCCTCTGCTGCAGCTTTAACACCTCAGAGACGGGAAGGTTTAGGAAGGAATGTGGAGCAGACTGTGCAAAATATTTAGGCAGGTACGTACATTTTGTCTGTTAAAGTAGGTTAAGCAAACGTACGAAGCATAGTCTCTAGAAGATTGAACCTCAGGTGATGTTAAAAAAAACATCTGGGTCGGGGACTGCTAGCGGGGCTTAATGGCTTGTTATTACAGGAACAGTTTGTCCAGGGAAAAAGGTTTGTTTCCTGAACTCAGGGAAAGACATTTTGGCAACACTTGGTTGTTGTACCATAACTCAGTTGCCAGGAGGCAACAATATCACGCGAACTGTGCTTCTTCTTTTTTTATTATTATTTCAGCATTGGACATAAAAATGCTAGTGAAAGTTGAAAGGCTGAAAGAAAAATAGTGAGAACAACAGTAGAAGTGAAGAAAGATGGACCCTGGTGTTTCAGATCTGTCTTTACAGTATGGTTTAGCAAAGGCGTCCATTTGTACCATCATTAGGAACAATAAAGCAATAACAGATTCTAAGGGTGTCAATGGAGTGACTGTGATCACCAAGCAAAGATCTCAGACATTAGAAGAAGTCGAAAAGTTGCTGATTACTGATTTGGATCAACGAAAAGCTCCTCAGCACAGGTAAGGATGAATTAAATTACCTTTCCTTATTTATAGGTTTATTCTTTAGTCTGTTTTTTTTTTTCATCTCTTTTGTTAGATCAAATTATTTTCATTGGTTTTGTGTATGAACTTATTCACAAAATACTGTTGAAAAAGCTTGAATAAGCAGTCATCCAAGGGTCCAGGAATGGATTCATCCATTAGTCATTGATTCCTATGGGGAACTGTTTCAGTTCTTCAGGATTCCTATGGGGAAAACTGTTTCAGTTCTTCAGCTGGTTCACGAACGGCCTTCAGGAACATTTATTAAATGCTCCAAAACAAAAAAAACAACACAAAACCAAAAACAACAAATGAGCAGTAGATGTACTAAAAGTAAACACCGTCATTGACCCAACCTGATGAGAGAAACACATTCCAGGAAGTTTTTTCAAAAGATTCAGGAAGTCTGAAGTGTTTAAGAGAATGTTGGATAATCACGATTGATCGTGATTCATTTAGATTATTCATGATTAATCACAATTAATCACGATAAAATGCCGGCTTATCTTAGGGGCTCAACAAATAGTAACTGAGTAATTGGTTGTAATTCAAGGACTGAATCAATACTCTTTTTTTCTATTAGCAGTTAAATGACTCTGAAATCAGAGCCTCAGGTGATGAATTTGATCAGCCTGTGTTTACTGGAGTGAACAACACTGCTTCACAGCCTAGACCAGGATTAATTTAAATCTAATTACTTATTAATGGTCGTGATGTTTAAATGAATTGGATGAAAGGAAAGAGGGGAAATGGGGAGCGTTTTATTTTTGTGACTAAAGGCCAGTCGACAACATGTTTGGAAATGAAAGCATGCCGTGGAGCTTAAGCTTTTGTCCTCTTTTGTTCAGCTGATCGCTGTGTGTCTGATAAGTTCCACCAGACACACACTACAA